GAAAATACAGGGAATTCAAAAATCATCTAAACATAACAGGGGAATTATGAGTTTTTCCTTGCAAATTAGGAAAATGCAGGGAATTTTGTTTCTTATTTCCGCTTTAAAAAAAAAAATGGCGACCTCTCACAGCTCAAACTATGGGATATATTAAAATGATAGCTATACTATACTATTCATAGTTCATCTATATTATACTATTTCATTAGCTATAGTATTGTTTTAAGGTTATTGAGCTGTTTCTGTATGTTTTTCCAGCAATTAAAACTAGTATAGGTAGCCTACTATAGCTCGCACAAGAGTGATTGTGTATTTGATCTTAATATATTGTGTATAATATGTACAAGGAAACTGCCAGATTTTGATGGCAGTCCTGTGTGTAATTAAATATTCCCAAGTAAAAGTATGTTATTTGTATAAATTAGGTTTTATTTTTTTGATATTTATCTGTTATTGTAGTTCAACATCGCTTTGGCATTTCTTCGAAATTTCGCATATTTTTACATAAGTTGTGTCAAATTTTTTTTTTTTTTTTGCAATATAGTGAAAGTTGTTCTATTCCGTTCCATATCTTGTTTTCTCGTGTCCATACCTTAAATCAGGGTTTCTTAACCTGTGGTCCATGGACCCTTTAGGGGTCCATGAGTCAAATTTTGGGGGTCCGTCGACTACTCCTAATTTTTAAAATGTTTGGAAGCCTTCCCATTGCTTGTAAAGTGAGCCGTGGCAGCTATAATACCGTTTGCTACAGTGTATCTTTGCGAAGCGAGATTTTCCACACTTGTGACAATAAAAACAAAACATCAAAATCGATTGAATGTTGAACATGATATGCGCATTGCTTTGTTGCGAACCTTTTCCTCAATTCAATTTAATTAAGGAAAAGCAGCAACAACCTTCACATTAAAAATATTCATTTTTTAAAATTATATGTCTCCTAATAATTGATGTTTTTTGCAATTATTTTTTTCACTGGGGGGTGGTTCGTGACTTCTTAAAATTTTTAAAAGGGGTCCATTCTACCAAAAAGGTTAAGAAACACTGCCTTAAATAAAGATGTCTACACGACTTCATTTCTTATAGCTTTCTTTCATAATTCAAATAACTGGAATTAAGGATTATGAGAGTATTTCCTGATTATAGTAACCATATTTAAACTGTGTAAATGTGTATTTAACATGTAACCACCAATTGGATTTTAAAAGTGCATGCTTACAATTCAACCCTTTTGATAAAAATAAAGAGCGTGGAACTATGTCGTTCAGATTTTTTTTTTCTCCATAAAAAAAATCACTATTGTTGTAGATTTGCTTTGGTCGCTACATGTGGCATATAACTTAACGCTCAACATGCGTGAAAATGTGTTTTACAACTCTTTTTTATGGCTTCTTTTCAGCAGTTGTAAGTTCGACCTTACCATCATTTCCGGCATATGAGATAAGCAGATGTTCCGCTCTTAAACCATTCATGTTAAATAACCGGTCTTTTATTTTATCCTCTCCATGTAATCAAAGAGGTGTTACGAAAACATCTTTATGTCTTTTTTTTCCTTCTTTCACCCCATCTCTGTTGTCGTATCTATGAATTCTTTATTTAAATTAAGTTGAAACGATTCGTTCTAAATCGAATCTAAATTGTTTTATCTTGATAGAATAGATCTAAGTTCAATTACGCTCAGATTTATGAGAAGGTTTATTAACATCCCGTAATCATCTGCGTCAGTTGATTGCGAATTCTGTGGTACAGGTACTTATATCACTTAAGGCGTTTGAAATCGGAAGGATGCATAAAGATTTAACATTAAGTTGGTACTTTTTCGAGCCGTTGCCTTATCTTCGTATTGTATCATCAAATATTGTTAAAAGATGTAGTATCTTAAAAATGTTTTCTATCGGAATTAACTCTTTAGCACCAATTAATTTTGTCACATTGAGCATGAATTGTCAGTCATTTTTCGAATTTCTTCTCGCTCAGCATAATCACATCTTCTTTCATGTTAAAATAACCGGTCTTGAATTTTCTCGTCCCCGTATTATCAAAATATAAATTCTTTGTTTAACAAAGTTGAAGGGATTGTTTAACTATTACAACGTTGTTTAACTATTGAATCTAAATATTTAACTTGATAGATTTAGGTTCAGTTACGCTCTGTTCTGAGTTTAAAATCGAAAGGATTCATTAGAGTTTAACGAAATTCAGTTCAAATTTTAAGTTCTTACTTTTCAAATGCTCTACTAGTTGCGGTGTGATACTAACCTTATTTTATATTCTTAAAAATTGTTATCAGATATAGTTTCTTAAGAATTTTTATCGGCACTGATTAATTTTTACCACCTTGAGCACGAATTATCGCTCGTTTTTCGAATTTCGTTTAACGCAGCATAGATAGTCGAATCCGACTACTTTTACGTTAGAGTCGTGATTCCTCAATAGATAGTGCATTCGCCTTCCAATGAGGTGAACCTGATTCGAATCCCAGCGATGACTGGTAGATACGAATTCCGCATCCGGCTTGCACCGAGCACAGTGCTAACATAAAATATCCTCAGTGGTAAACGGATGATGGGTTAGAGTCCCTTTGCCGTCGGGCTAACCATGGGAGGTTTTCGTGGTCTTCTTCTCCATGTAACGCCAATACCGGTTGGTTCCATCAAAAAAGTCCTCCACGAAGTCAAATTTCTCCCAATACTTAATCCTGGAGTTCCCTTGTCTTATAGATTGGGGTTTAAAATTACAAGGCAATGGAGTTAAACATTAATAGTCATAAATCCAAAGAGTTGGGTCGGCTGTTCGACGACTGTTATAAAAAAAAAGTTAAGCGTTAAACTGTACATTTAAACAAATCTAATATCAATCCGATTCTGCAAGATTTCTGAAATTAAATTGTTCAAAGATAACTGTTCCAATACAGGCGGATCAATTGGTTTTTGCGCTGACAATTGTCTCCAGTCGTCGGATCAATTGGCTATGCAAAACGTATCGAAAAAGAATTATGTAGTAACAATAAAATGTAACTTCTTTTAAGCATATTAATCTCTTTAAAGCTTATCAAGCTTTATTATAATTGAATTTGAGTTAGTTAAACGCTATTTTTTACCTAAGCTAGATTCGAATTACTGCTGATTTGACGTATTTTTACGTTATGCTTCATTCATGGTTGCGATAATTCAAAAAACTCTGCAGCTGCCCTAATTTGCATAAACGTAACATAATGACTAACCTATGGCGTTATAGAACATTTTGTTTCAATGTGAAGTTTAACTTTCAGATATCTCACCAAAACTCGTCTTTTGATACAAAAATAACTTTTTAACCTCTTCTTATGAATTTACCTAATTGCTAGCCACATCCTATCTTTGCCATAAAAATGTTACTTATTATAGGCTCAAAATTACTGTGTAAATGGGTTAACAGGGCAATAAAGTATGTAGCATTTCAATTCAAACATCATTTCTGAGAAACCAATTAAGGATATTTTTATAGTTCTATCATAGCATCACTTTTTGATGTGGGAAATTGATACAATATCTTTTGAGGGTGCGGCTAATTGCTTACCATCCCAAATGTACCCTCTTCAAACATTATTTAGATATGTGAAAACAGCTGTTATTTGTTGCTTAGCAACACCGCTGCTAACTCATTTCTGTGCACACATTATTTATGGGAATACCCGCCGATTCCCACTCCCTTGGGGGATTTGATAACTTTTGTTGGAATAGATCATTTAATCAAAAGTCTGAGTTTTTCACCCTCTATGAATATATTTAGTATGAATATTTAATGAGTTTGGTAATGGTGGGAGAATTATATGGTCTTGTTGCTGTCTTAAAATATAATAGAAATTTCCATTCACAAATTAATTTATAGCCAAACGGACCCTTCACAAATTATTTCTTCATGTAAACGGGTTCTTAACTATATTTTTCATTTTAAAAATCGACCCTACATTAAATATTTTATTTTAAAAAGTAATATTATATCATCTAAATAATATATATGTTACCGTTAAAGTATATAATGCAGTTTTTTCATAGAATACCTAGTTATTCCATGAAATAACTGATCGTGTCCGTTAAAGTGTGTAATATGTTATTAATTTGACACTTTAACTAGTATTCTATGAAATAACTAGGTATTCTATAAATTAACTAATGAGAGACAATTAAAATGAAAAAGAAGCAATTTAGCAGATCGTTATTCTATGAAATAACTAGTTAAACCATGACACACAAGAGAATTTTACACTTTCACGAACTGCAGATGGAATAACTAGGTATTCTATAAAATAACGGATTTCATACTTTAACGGTAACATATATATTGATATTATTAATATTATATCTAGTATTATCGAAATATTTTATCTTCACAAAATATTTTATTTTAATCATATCAACAGACTTTTAACAGGTTATTTTACGTTATTAACACTAGATTCGAAGTTATTTTGACTGCTTTTAATTTCAATTAGAAAAACAATGATGTATAATGACGCAATTTCTTGGAATTTTGTACAATATATAATTTCTTTATTGTTAATATTTACTAATTACTTGTTATATAACTGTAAATAGTATTAAAAATATTAAAAATTAATTTTAAACAAATTTCTTTACACATTATTTATTCTTTTACAATCCAGTCATTTTGACTGCTTTTTTGGCATTATAGGTATATACTGAGTTTCAGTCTTTCTAGTGTTAATGAACTTTTTATTTTTTCATTTTATAAAACACTATGCACTATATTTTTCCTCTTTAAAACAGACCCTTCAAAAATATTTCTTTGGCGAAACGGAGTCGTTGATACCATTAATTAATTCATAATTTTAAAATTACAACCCCTTGAAAAGCTTTTTATACCTTATTTCCCCTCTCAAAGAACAAGACCTTATTTACATAAATGCATTCACAAAAACAGCAGTGAGAATCCGAAGTATTTCTGATATAAATATCAATTATAAATATTTCTGATAATAAAAAAATGTCTTTCTCTTTTAGATATTCGCCAACAACTGAATGAACAACTGAAATGCCTGGATACACGAGTGGAAACACAAGTAAACTTGGTGGCTGAAATTCAGGACTACTTCAGACGGAGAGCTGAAGTAGAACTGGAATATTCCAAATCGCTGGAGAAATTGGCCAAAGGACTCTCACTGAGACATAAAGCTGAAAAACAAAAGTAACTATAATTTTTTTTGTCATCACCTTCATCAACTTTGGAATTTTCATTATCTATCAAGCCTGAAAAATGTTTAATCCTTCTAAAAAAATAAAATGGGCTGATAATAAAATAGCAATCCCTGTTCCAATTTTTTTTTATTTCAAAAATATACAGTCAAACCCCGCTATAGTGAACCTTCAAGGGACCGAAATTTTGGTTCACTATATCCGTTATGCAGGCAATTTAACTAATGGTTCCCAAACTCCTCTCTTTTAGTACACATTATTCAAATAAATGACTGAAAAATATCATGTAGTAGGAAAAAATTTTTTTATTTTTCATTACTCTTCGTCTTACGTGCAAAATAAAAAATTAGTAATTTTTAGCTGATGAGCAATCCTTAGCATCAAATATGGAAACACTCTTCCCGACTCTCAGATAATTTTTCCCGAATTTCTGTCATTCTGCTTTTTAAACCTGTCTAACCTGCCATTCGAGCACATAAAAGAAGTATCATAAAATCGCTTAGCAAATTCATCGACATTTGTCCAAATACTGTAATAAAAAAGATTGCGGCTTCTTCGACTGGTGAACCACCAACATCCTTGTGATCTGCCTTTCTAAACTTTTTTCTACCATCTAAATTTTTTTTCATGAGCAGAAATTATTAATTGCCCATTTTTCCATATGTTACAAGCTGCAGATTTGGATAGTTTATATTCCCTGCAAATATCAACTTGATTGCGTCCAATTTTAATTTTTCTGATATTCTTCCCATTTTATCATCAATGGGGAACGTTTTACGTTTACTTGTCGCCATAGTTAAATTTGAGACACTTGTTTGCAGGTTTCTTTTTAACTGAACTGAGAGCAAAAAGGAGTTGAAATGAGGGTCTTATCAGCACATAGCACCCTTTGACCAATCATGAGTAATTACTCATTCCTTCTGACAGGAAATGCATATTGATCCCACTGACACCTTACAGGTGCGTCATCTGCCTGGGTTGGAAACATCTGCTTGGGTTGTTTAGGGATAGAAAAGTGAGATATAAGAAGCAAACAAGAAAAAATGCTTATAGCTACATTCCCCTCTATAGATGGTTTTAAACATCGGTATATGTATTTATTTTGAAGTAAAAATTTCAAAATTATTACAAAAAAATGAAGAATAANCAATAAAAAAAAATTTGGTATTTTTGTCACTTTTTGGGTATTGTGACCCCTTAAGATTTGTGGGATAAGAAATTTTCAGAAAATATCTTCATCAACTTTGTAATTTTCATCATTCAAACCTGAAAAATGTTTAATCTTTCTTAAAAAATGAAATGGGCTGATGGTAAAATAGCATTCCCTGTTCTAATTTTTTTTTATTTCAAAGATATATATTTGAAATATTAGACTTTCTGCATGAGTATAATCTTCTATATATTTGATCAATGATGTGATTGTTGTTTCTCTTGATTCAATATCTCCTGGTAGCTTCAATCTTTCAGCCATAGTGTAATCTTTATTTTTTTAAAAATTGTTTTACATATGCATACATTTGTTACTTCTCGTGTAATTTTCGTTCAAAAATATTCCAGAACTGGTGCATTTAAAATATTTCTAGAATATTTTAGGGGAAAAATTATTTAATTTTAAAGAATAAATTATTAATTTAAAATTTCTTTAAATAATTTATTTTAATCTATTAAAAAAACTTTCAGATTTAAATTTCTAACATTAAGTGTATTTCAAAATACATCTTTAAATCGTATTTCTCTTTCAAGAACTGATACATGTGTGTATATTGATGCACATCTCTTGATGTAGACTTCTAGTAATTATTTAAAAAAAAATTGGTTTCTTTATGAAACTTAATAGGAAATTCATAACATAAAATCAAAGCTAATGTTTTTTCTTCTTCACTAGGCGTGAGCAGTGGCATTTATTTTCATCGTATGCTTGTTGGCAACATTTAGTGTCCACAACTAGGAGGCAAAGTCGAGACCATGCAGCGATCAGCGAGATATATAACAACACTATCATCAATAGGATGACATGCATCATGGAAGATGTGCAGCGCATTTACAAAAGAGTAAATATCTTCTCTGCTTTTTAGACACATTTGCATTAATTTTGTGTATTAATAGTTTTCAATATGTTTTAATACTAAGCAACAAAAAGAAATTCCATGAACGTAATTTTCTGACATTTTTTTAAAAATACTGAAGAGACATCTGTGTTGTTTTAGGTATGTTTTTATATGGTAATTATTAGTTAAGCTATGCAATTACTCATATCTTTAAATAAAACTCAATTTACATTACACTGTTTTTTAAAATGCTATTTTGTTTTTCGTTAAAACAACTTTTTCTACATTAAATAGCTACCCCTATGATATTTTTAGAACTTTTTTTATGTTGAAATTTTTTTTAATTTCTAAAAAAAACTGAAAAGAAATCTGTGTAATTTAAGATACTTTATCATGTTAAATAATTAGTGAAGATTATAGAATTATTCATGCTTTTCAATTAACTTTAGTTACATCACATTATTTTGTGATCGACACTAGTATTACTCTATTTTATTTATTTATTTATTTTAGTAAAACAACCTATTAAACATTAAATGACTACCTTATAAATAATTTTCATCCTCAGTTTTAAGACAATTCCAAATTATAACATTCCATAAATGCTAAAAATGGGTTAAAACGATCCTTAATTTTTTCTTTGAATCTCGATAATTTTTTTAAAAATGAAGTTTAGATGATTTTGAAACAAAATACAGTTTGTTGTTAATAATTATAATTTTGAAATATTAAAATTATATCTTTTATTAGAATTGTTAAAAACAAATTTGATTTTATTAATTCAGTTTTTAAAATGTTGAAAATTTGTATTTTCGCTTTCAGTGCCGAGATGTTGGTATTGAAATTCATGATGAACTTCTGAAGGTTTTGCATGAATTACATACTGTAAGTGTTTTAAAGTAATACCACCAAAGCTTTAAAAATTCTAATTGTTCTGGTATGCAGAATTTAGATTTTTCTATCATAGTGATAAATTATTTATGCAATATGATTCTTTTTAGACCATGAAAACTTATTATACTTATCACAATGAGGAGAAGCAAGCGGAGAGTAAATTAAGTTATGTAGAAGCTCAAAGGGGTAAACTAGAACAAACCATTCCCAAAGAAAAACTGCAACGCTCCAAAAAGTTCCGCCTTATTGAAAAAGAAATTCAAAAGGTAACACTTTTTTTTTCTTTTACAAAATTCTATGAAAATAATTTATTTTTCTTTATTTGTGTAAAATTTAAGTGTATTATTAAACATATTAATTTAAGTTGTACTGGGGAAAAATATTTCTTTGGGTTTCTTTTGCTTGAGAATTTTTAAAGAATCTTATATATTTCACATTGCTGATTTCAAAATTGCAATCAGTTTCTATCTCAGAACTATAGTTTTTTTTTTTTTTTTTAAATGACGTTTTTAGATCGTTATTTGTCGAAATTTACATGTTTAAAAACGTTACCCATAATAAAGGGTTGCATAAATGTTGCGAGAAACTTTTAAGAAAGTTAGGGCACATTATCAGGATTAAAATTGCATAGGAAAGAACCCATGCTTGAAAATAGCTCCATTCATTAGTAGGGGCATTTCCCTATTATAAACTTTTTTCTCGTTTCTGAACGAGTCATAATAGGTTAGCGTCCCTCCCTTTTCACTTACGATGACATTTCCAATGCAATTTTAATCCTGATGATTTGCTCTTACTCTCCTAGAAGTTTGTTGCTACATTTATGCAACTCCCTTTTATCTATAACGTTTTTTAAACTCGTGTATTTTGACAAAAAATATACTAAAAATATACATTTTAAAAAAAATCTGTAGCTCTAGGTGCAAAACTAATTTTGGATTTGAAATCGCCTAACTTGAATTAGGCAATATTGAATATTTATATGAATGCAACTGAAAATTTATTCCTTTAGTGTTATGAGTACAAAATCTTTATTTCAAAATGTTTCTTCTTTATAAATTTAATCATACATAATTAATTACAATACATTTTTCTACTTGTAGGACAGTTTAACAATTTGGATCAAATTGGAAAACAATTTTAACTTTTTACATTAACCTTTTTATTTTTTGTATCATTTTTTGTTGTTGCATTGCTACAAACTGCTGTAGAAGTTTTAGTTAAACAAGTCTTCTGCAACTAACTGATTGTTTTAAAATGTGTTCTACAATTGGTGTTTAAAGCCGAAGACTTTTTTCGTCTCATGAAATAATGCAATTTTGTGAATAGTATGCTAATTTTTTCTCCTTAAGTTTTCAACAATTCCTTGTGTTTGTTAGACTGAGTTTAGTGTATTTGCCAACCCCCTCTAAGCTAATTCTGAAAATGGTACAAAATGTCAACCAAAGGAGAAGTCAACATTCTGTAAAAATGAAAAACATTTGAGGAATAAATTATTTGAAATTTAAAAAGTTACTCTAAGGTTACATTGTCAGAGCTCATAAAAATTTGTCCAAATTTAAAGTTATTCGTTAATTATATTAATTATCATTACGGAGGAAAATTCGGTTTTTAAATAAAGTTTACAAACTTTTGAAATATTTAAGTTATTTCCCCTTTCCAAAGTAGGCAACTCTTTACAGTAAGATACATAGATAGAATTAAAGGTATATAGCTTAAATTATAATTTTACTTCAAGGTAAGGCACTTGTGGCTTTTTTATTTTCCTTTTCAAAAAAGCTTGAAAAATACTGTTAAATTTGTTTTCTCTGAAATGGAACCATTCACTAATTTTGATTTCCTTTTCAAAAAAGCTTGAAAAATACTGTTAAATTTGTTTTCTCTGAAATGGAACCATTCACTAAATTTGATATTCCCATTTTGTGAGTATAAAATTGAAATTTGTGTATTTGTGTAATTGTAAATTAAAAATTTTTTCTAATAATATGGTATTTTATTTTACATGTTAACCGTCTTCTCTTTTACAGCGCCGATTAAAATACAATGATGCAAAGCTGAAAGCATTGAAGGCTCGAAATGATTATTTATTATGTATGGATGCTAGCAATGCTGCTATTCACAAGTATTTTGTGGATGATTTATCTGATATTATTGATGTAAGTTTATTTTTCTGCCATAATATTTGCTGTTATTAGGGCCCCATATAAATGTTTAGTAAGCACCCAATCGGGATAGGGGGTTTGTGATTTTCTAGTTTTTGCTGACAAGGGGATAGGTGCTGTGCTTTGTAAGACAGTAAATTGCCCTTATAAGTTACATCTTTTTATTTGAATTTAATGCTAAAATTAGGTAATTACAATAAACGTCAAAGTCAAAAACAGGGGGCAGTGTATTGTGATTTTCTTGTGTAAGCATGAAGGGATTTTGTGATTTGCGTACAAGAGAAAGTCTAAAATGGCCAAAACTAATCGTACATAATATAAATTGAACTGCTCCTTACTAAAAAAACATGTACAGGATGTTCCCTAATAATCACTCTTAATTTATATTTTTACAATCATTTCGGAAAATATGTGATGTTTAGAAAAAATTAAAACAAATTTTGGAGCTCAAATAAATATTTCAGGGAGAAAAAACAAAAACACAAATAAAAAATTGCTACAGGGTAAGGTGGGATTAAAATCATCAAAACTTGTTTGATTGAGATGTTTCAAATAATTAATTTTTCTTATCCTCTTTGTTTCCTCTGTTACTCAAACTAAGTTTTTGTATTTTCAGCTCTGCTTCCTTAATGGCAATTGTTAAATTTTTAATATTGTTTTTTTTCCTCTCTTAAATATTAGTTAGGGACCCCTAGTGTATTTCAAGTTTATTCCTGACAAGGATTATAAAAAAAATAATGCATGAAAAAATACATATTATTCGGAATTACAACTAAATTATTTTTATTCTGTATAAAAGCTTGAGATGCAATGTCACATAGTTTTAATTTTTTTATATATTTTATATATAATTAGCTGTAAGCATGAGCTGGAGCATTTGAGAGCTGTGTTTCTCTGGAGCTCTAAATTTTCCCAAGCTATGACTCCAACAATTTCATTGTATCCTACCGACTTTCTTGGGGCCTTCCTTCTTGTAACAGTATTGCCCGTTAACCAAGATGCTGTAGAAAGACTATTCTTGGCTAAAATACATTCATAATGATTTCAGATCAAATATGAAAGTGGATTTATTTGATTTCATTCTTTTCTTAAGACTAAAGAAATAACTCAACTGAGAATTGAATTAAATTTGTATTTTCTGTGTGAGATGATGATGATTATGTTATTATTTTTTAACGTTTTTATAGGGGAGGATAAATTAAAATTTGAAACTCAAAATTCCATAAGTAAATAGCGAAATTGCCAGCTGAAGCTTTATCTTATTGTTTGATATGAAGCTGTATTTGACGCATCAGTAATTGTTTGGCTCTAAGTCCCTTGTGATTAGTGGGCTAAAATGACTTTTAGATGACCAGTATTACTGTTATGCATTGTAGATAAAAATAGGAAGTATTTAAAGTTATTTTAGTAAGTGCTTGATCAAGTGCAAATGAAAGAGAATTAAAAAAAAAAAAAAAATCCGGCACTAATAAAGAGTATAGAGATACTGAGTTTCTGGCATCAAAAATTACAAAAGTTTTTGAATTTATATCAAATTCTCCCCTGCAGGTTTTTAATTGACTCATTTTCTATAATTTGTATTTAATAATTGGAATTAAGCTTTTTCACCTTATCCCTCAACGCATAGTAGTAACTATCTTACACTAGTCTTTTTATCTAAAAGTTTTGCACTGATTAATTTAAAGTTGTGTTGCTTAATTTTCCTGTTTGTATCTTAAATCTTCTTTTTTTAAAAATTGCAGTGTATGGATTTCGGTTTTCACACATCCATTGCTCACACTCTAATGGTTTCCATTAATGCTGAAGAGTGCCTTAAGAAATCGAAGCAGGCGAGCATCGATGGTCTTAACAAGTGCATTACAAATCTAGATTCTCGTGTAGACAAGCAGAGATTCCTTGAATACAACAACTCTGCGTTCATGGTGCCAAAGAAATTTGACTTCCAACCCCACAAAGGAGACGAGGTCATTAGAATTATCTGTTTTAAATATTATTAATATGTTTATTATTATTATTATAATGTTTTGAATATTATTAAAATTTCCCATTTGCATTTTTCAAAATTGAACAAGTATGTATTATTAAATATGTTTATTATTGTAATTATTATTATAATGTTTTAAATATTATTAAAATGTATAAATATTAATATTAAATATTATTTAATATTAATATTTTATATTATATTTAATATTAATATTTAAATATTAAAATATAAATAAAAAATTGACTTCGAACCCCACAAAGGAGACGAGGTCATTGGAGTATTATTTTCGAATATTATTAATGTGTTTTATTATTATAATTATTATTATAATGTTTTGAATATTATTAAAATTTCCCATTTACATTTTTCATAATTAAACAAGTATGATATATTTCAGGTAACACAAATTAGTGTAGAAAAACCAATCCAAGAAGAGTTGGAACAAAGGTATAAACTTGTGAACAATCGCCTTACCTCACTGAAGACAGAAAGTGAAGAGGTAGATATGATTAATATATGCTTTGATTACCACTTTTCTATTAAAATAATCTGCGGTCTAACTTCGATTATTTAAATGATCCCATATCAGTATTACATACTTTTAACATTATTATACATGTCTTACATTGATTAAAGCTGAACAAGGTATATAAAACACAAATAATGTCACAGAAATGAACATACTATAGTTTTGGTCTTATAAATAGGAAACTTTCTTAGTATTAGAACACTAAATATGTAATATGTTCATTGTTTTTTTTCTATGTATGTGGTTCACAGCCTCAAAACACAATTTTTACATTGTCATTCTTACAGTTCTGAGTATAAATGTAGAAATAAACAAAACTTAATCAGATAAGAATAAGCTGAAAATAGAAAAATTATTAATTTTTAGAAGAAACTTTTTTTTTTCTTCTGTTCGTGTATCTATTAAATCCTGTTCAATAAGAGAAAAAATACTTTTTTTATTGTGGGATTTAGAAAATGTTTATCAACTCTTGTCTAATTTCTAATTTAATCATATTTTTAGGTTTATTATTTCACTTGAAATATTTCAATTCATAAAAATTTTAAATATTATTCTAAATAAAAAAATATTCACAGAATATATGGGGGGGGGGGAAGAATTATACAGTTCTTTCAAGAGATTTAAACAACATTATTTTTTTTACTGTTCTTAATAAGAAAATTGAAAGTTTGTGTTTGTTTAAGTGTTTATAAAGCCTGGAAAATATTGCAAAAGGGCATTTCCTTTAATAAAAATATTTATTGGTTTTTAATTTTTATAATATTTTGTGCAAACATAATATTGTAACTTCATTGTATAACTTCTGTATTGTATAACTTCATTGTATAACTGTATTGTATAACTTCATTTGTTAATTATGACTTTTCTAACAATATTTGTTAATTACAAAAGAACTTAACATCGGCAAAAATATTTATCTAAGAGATATAAAAAGATTAGAATACTCACATGACATCATTTTGCAGAATATTAAACAGATAAAATATTGTACAGTAGAATCATAAGATACTTGTACTACCTAATATACTTGTAGCATTAGCCATATCATTTTGTACAAACCTACAATCAGACCACAGATAAACTGCTAAGGCATTTGTGGTTAATATTTAGTTAACTGTAATTGGAATTTTAAATTTATCATTTTAATTGGGTATAATCTATCCCTTTGAAAAGGAAAATATTAATTAATATTTTCTTAAGATTTCTGAATAATAAGTAAATGTTTAAAAAAATTTATTTACTAAATTTTTTTTTCTTCATTTCTTTCTTAGATCTGGAAAACTTTAGAAACAGCAGAAAAAACTTTATTGGAAATGATTAGCATTAAAGATTTTGACTGCACCATTCTATTTGAAGAAGACGGGTCAAGCAGGAATGGTTTAAAACAACCAGAAACACTGGCTTTGAAACGTAGAGCAGACAAGCAAGAGACTGAAGACTTTTATTTAAATGTTAGTATTTAATTGTTGATCTGAAATCTTAATGCACTGAATTGAACTGAATACCCTGTTATAATTATATAATGATTATTTGTTATTTAAATGAATCGTTCGATTGTTAAATATAAGGTAACTATGATTAACTGATAATTTATATTTTTGGGTAACATAGTTGTTAAATTAATATTTTTCAATAAATTTAGATATTTCTAAACAGTAGTTGATAGTGTAGGAAATGGTCACTTAAAAGTACACTTATACACATATAAAAATTTACTTACAATTATCAGTAAAAAATTTCACAACAAAAAATTTCACAGTGTATAACGAATGACTTATTTGAGTTAACAATAAAATTAGTGTAAGTTGTAAGCCATATGTTGTTTAAATTTAATTATAATATTTTAACAGTTTAAGAATATAATGGAAAAGCAAGTTTAGGGACAGTAAAAAATTTTTAAAATCAACCTTTTAGGATAGATTAAACACCTTTAAAAATTAAACTTTTTTAAAAACTTAAATAATTAAATTGTTGTTTTATGCACGTGTATCTGAGAAATAGTTTTGTACACAAATATTTTGCTTAGAATATTTTATTTTTATTATGTTGTATGTCTAAACTCAAGTGTAAAATTTGAAGAGTATACTGAATGAACAAATTAAGGGGCACGAGTTAATCTTAAGACATAATTGCAAAGATTACATCTTATTGCTATAGACTTGTCTATGTTATAGACTTGTGTATGTAAAACTCATAAATTACTTTTAACATTTATAATGTTTTATTGAATAGGTGATAATAAAGAATTCTTTTTTATTTCATTCATCTAATTGCATGCTTTTAATAAATTAGGTATTATATATACATTTTAAGAATTAAAGTGATGGTGAAAACTTTTTCCAGAAATTCTCTCAATACATCATGACAAACAATCTGATTGCCCGACTTCAAGCTAAATCTGATGTTATTCGCCAAGGTCTTGGAATAGAAGGGGATGAAGTTCCAGTTTTGCCAGGCGGTGCATCTCCACACATTGCACAAAGACCGCACAATCTTCCTCAGAGGCTGAGGAAAAAACGCATTGGCCGCACACCTTTGGTGGGTCAACCCAAACTCTTCGGTGGAAGCTTGGAGGAATACCTTGAAGTAACTATTTTATCATATTATTATCTTAGCTTGGATGTTAAATTTACATAAATCGTTTATCTATTTGCTTACCCTATTTTGCTTGTTTTTTTAGGCAGTTAATCAGGAAATACCGTTGATAATCAGAAGTTGCATAAGAGTAATCAATTTATATGGTAACTATTTTTTATTATTATATTGTTCGTATAATGGTCTTGAATAGCGGAGCAGCACCTTCATTTATTATTTTGTCGTACAGAATTTTAAAGTCTACCATTTTTGCATTTATTTTTTTTAAATATGCAAAAGAGATGTAATTATTTGGATATTTTCTCTTTGGGTGCCATTCCATTTTAAAGATTTAAGCAAATATTGTTATTAGCCGAGCACTTTCCGACATCGTATTGCCAATCTTCTTCACATTATCAGCAAATTACAAACATCCATGTGAGTTTTCATAATACTTTAATCACATGAATTATAAACCACTCATTTGAAATGATAACATTTTTAATATTATACTGCAGTGTGTTATTTTCTTTCTTTATTTACATCGTATCACTTAACTTGATTTTTGATTCTTATACTCTAGTATTCAAGGAAATTAAGTGAATTTATTTTATAATAGGTCCTGTACTAAAATCCATATTTATAGAGCAGTTGTTTTTTCAAACATTTTTATGATGATTCTTTTCAAGTGTAATTTTTTAAAAGCAATTATCAATTTGAATTATCTGAAATTAAGGATGACCTTTATGGTACTATGCAGTACCATCAAATTAAAATATTTCTTTAAAAAATTAATACAATGCTGTTTTAGTTTTTAAGCAAGTATTTAAATTTCTTTTACTTGTGTTACAATTTTTTTGTTTGATAATGTTTTAAATTTTCATATTTAATTTATTTTATTAAAAATATTTCTCATTTTATTTTAGGATTGCACCATCAAGGTATATTCAGAGTATCGGGCTCTCAAGTGGAAATAAATAATTTCCGGGAAACTTTTGAGAGAGGTTTGTAATTACTTTTAAATTTTACTTCTACAAATGGAAATGCTACTTAATCCACTTTTCCACAATTGAATAGATTTTAATTCTGTCTATAAAGTTGCAAGAAAATGCATTTGTGCAAAAAACTCTATTTTTCATAGTGTTTTCTATTTTTTATAGNAATCGGTTTAGTACTGTACTTTAATCACATGAATTATAAACCTCTCATTTGAAATGATAACATTTTTAATATTATACTGCAGTGCGTTATTTTCTTTCTTAATCTATATCGTATCACTTAACTTGATTTTTGATTCATATACTCTAGTCAAGGAAATTAAGTGAATTTATTTTATAATCGGTCCTTTACTAAAATCCATATTTATTCTTAGAATAGTTGTTTTTTCAAACATTTTTATGAGAATTCTTTTCATGTGTAATTTTTTAAAAGCAATTATCTATTTGAATTATCTGAAATTAAGGATTACCTGTTTTTGGATTTTATGGTACTATGCAGTACCATCAAATTAAAATATTTGTTTAAAAAATTAATACAATACTGTTTCAGTTTTTTAAACAAATATTTTAATTTTTTTTTTACTTGTGTTACAACTTTTTTGTTTGATAATATTTTAAATTTTCATATTTAATTAATTTTATTAAAACTATTTCTAATTTTATTTTAGGATTGCACCATCAAGGTATATTCAGAGTATCGGGCTCTCAAGTGGAAATAAATAATTTCCGGGAAACTTTTGAGAGAGGTTTGTAATTACTTTTAAATTTTACTTCTACAAATAGAAATGCTACTTAATCCACTTTTCCACAATTGAATAGATTTTAATTCTGTCTATAAAGTTGCAAGAAAATGCATTTGTGCAAAAAACTCTATTTTTCATAGTGTTTTCTATTTTTTATAGTGTCTTTTTTTTCCCCTTCTATGTTATGGATGAATCCTTTTTTTTTCTTCTTCACATTCATGCTAATTTATTTTTAATTCGCATCTAACTCTCCAAATTTTTGTTTACATTCACTGTTAATGACTGCTGTTAATGAGTGTAACCATAGTAATTATTCATAAAGAGTTTGTTGTAAACAACTTATACACTAGTAAATTTGAGGCATTAGTATTTTATTAGCGAATTAGTATTTTTTTTAGCTTTGAACAGCTCCTAAAATGATCCAAAACTCTTGAGACAACCATCTGAGAATTAAGTGAAATTATTTAATAGATAATTTCACAGCTGCCAACCCTTCCGGTTTTTTATCGAAACTGCTGCCTTCCGGTTTTTTATTTTAATCTTCCGATTTTCCTCGATTTAAAAAAAATTCCCATTTTATTAAATATTTTTTGCAACAGAGTCACGATCCAAATTTGTACTATCACCAACAGTGTGTTACTATCACTGCCAGTTTTAGTAGGGGATTCTACTGGTGTGAATATTGGTAATCTAGTTTTAACTAGTTTGAAATCACTTCACATACCAATTGAAAATTGCATCGCCATTAGTTGTGACAATGCTCCTGTAATAGTGGGGCAGAAATCTGATGTTTTTTCTGTATTACAAAAAGCGAATATAAATATAGCCTTGCTGGATTGCTGTTGTCACTTATTGAACATAGCTGCAGAAAGAGGGTCATCAGCCTTGTCTTTTAAGATTGATGAATTACTCATTGATTTGTATTACTATCTTGAAAAAAGTTCTGTGCCAATAGCAAAGAATTTCGAAACAGTGAAAGAAGATAGAATGGGCAGTCGATGGGTTTTTATTGGAGAACTGAAGAATGAAATGGGCCAATTTAAATGTAAAAACATTTCTAAATTTATATTATCTGTGTTATCTTTCTCACATTCAAATGCAGAATGTGAACGTGTGTTCAGTCAGGTTAAAAAAAACTAGAACACAGCTTAGATCATCTCTTAGTGATGAGATGCTAGAAAAAATATTACAAGCTGATTATTTTTGTAAAAATCAAAATTGCTACAATGTAACATTTGATGAAATTTTTTTAAAGAAAGCCAAATCGTGCACATATCAAACTTTGAAAAATAATTAAAATTGATGCCCCTAAGTGTTCTTAATTGTCTTAAAATCTTTAAATTGAATTGTGTTCAGAAGAAAAAATACGTTGAAATTTTACAGCTTTTAATATCTTCCTTTTTTTTGAAAACCCACTGTTGGCAGCTGTGTAATTTCTAAAGTAAAAAAATATTTCATAATTGTGTTACATAAAAAGAAATGTTTTCTACACTTTGTCACACTGTGTTAAACATAGGATCAAAAATACTCAATAGAAACTCAATTAACTTAGAAAAGAATGAACGCAATTTTAAATTAATAAAAACTAAGAACTTTCTATGTTCTCGTTTTAATGATGCTTTAAAGGATCACTCATTTTGAGTAAGTGAGTAATTAACTGATAAATGTCAATCAATTTAACGTTATGAGATAGGCATTCACTATAGCAGTTATAACAATACAGATAACAGATTAATAAGAAGATGCTAACAAATAATGAAATTTTAGTGTCTTTCAAATGGGCCACTGAATTGTTTTCTCTTGATTTTGTAGCTGTTCAAATATATCTATGTTTAATTTTATAGGACTTTTACTAATTTGTTTCTTAAATGTACATATTTTCTTTATTAGTGTGCCCAAGTGAAACTACTAGATAACTTCTTTGACTTGTATATTTGGTTTAAAAAGTTTTTGAAGACTAATTGCATCTTTTATTCCAGGAGAAGATCCTTTAGCTGATGTCTCAGATGCAAGTGATATTAATTCAGTTGGAGGTGTTCTTAAACTTTATCTAAGAGAACTACGTGAACCTCTTTTTCCAATCTTTTATTTTGATCAGCTTGTTGATATATCTCGTAAGTTTTTAAAGTAGCTATTAGATAATTTAATTTAAATACTTATTTTAAAATTGTTTATTAGAATCAGTACATGAAATAAAATCATCTCAAAATGAAAAAGTTCAGGAATTAAACTTTCTCATTTTTTGGAAGATTTTCGTAATTTGTACTATTCCTCCTACTATCTTAAAATAGGAGGAGTAATGTTACATTACTTGTTTAGAAGTTGCTTTTATGTTTTTGTAAACAACTGTTTAAATCACTAATTTGTTATTAAATATCCATTGCGTGCTTTTTAAGTAAATTTTACTATGCATTATTCAAAAAGTATTCTGTATGTTTCTTGATTTTTTTCATTTTTTTATAATCAAAATTTAAACAATAAAATTAGTTGAATTTTAAGAATCTTGTTCACCCATGAAATATTTTTAAGTTATTTTGAAAAATATTTGTTACTATTACTGCTAATCATTCTTTTGTTTTTAATTGTTATGTAGTTTTCAAATAAACTTGGTTGCAGATATCTCTAAATATATATTTTAATGTACTTATCATTGTTCAACTTTAGTATGATTTTTCTACCATGATGTAAAAAACAAAGGGTGGTGCATTTCATCTCACTCCGAAATTGTTCTGTACTGCCATATTATTACTATATTTACCTATATAATTCTTATATTAAAACTTTGCTTAAAAGTATAGCATAATGTTGTAAAATATGTTATGTTTTAAAATTATATTTTGTTGTTCCTATATGAATTATTTATTACTATACATTTTTAAAAATTGTACAACCATTATTCATTAAAAGCTTATATTTATGGATATTTATAAAGAAAACTTATTCATATTCAAATAAAACTTTATTTTGAAGTAAAAACATACATAATATGTATTACATAAAAAATATATAATTTGTAATTTTTTTAAATGAATATTTAAATAAGCTGCTAATAAAATTAAGTTAATAGGTTATTATGATTTAATTTTTTAAGCTAAACTTACTTTAAAAAGACCACATTTGCTGTGTGTTAAAGCATTGAAATAAAAACTGTACTGAAAACATCACGTTTATGTAATTAACTTAAAGGATAAATTAAATACGAATTTTAAAATTTATATTTTAAGTTTAAAAATTTATTATATATATTATTTGATTTCTGTTAAAAATTCATTTATTAGAATTATTTACAAATTTTTAGTATTTATACACAAAGAATATGCTGAATATGAATATATTCAGCATAATTTCAAATATGAATATTTGAAATGAATATGAATATTTTCAGCATAAATCATCAAAATTTTCTTTTTGAAAGGGAAAAAAATGTGCATGTCCTCATAGTGTTACTTAATTCTGACCTTTATTAAATTAAGACATATATGCTTCATTCGACACATCAATTAACTCCACTTTCTGTAACTTTTTTAATTTTCAAGCACTTGATTGAGTGTTAACTGCATTTTTTAAGACACCATTAAATGACAAAAAAAAATTTAATAATTGAGTAATATAAATTTATTTCTAATATATTAATTTATATATATATNTCAAGTTTTAGATAAAATTGTATTAAAATATATATGTAAAAATAATTGTCTTGTGATGATTAAGCATGCAACTTCCTTTTATTTGTTTTAGAAGTGGAGTCAAAGAAAGAGTTCATCTATAGAGTTAGAGATGTTGTGAATAATTTACCTCGATCAGTTGTCATTGTTCTCAGATATTTATTTGCATTCCTTAATCAGTAAGTTTTTTTTATTATCTTTTAGCAACAAATAATTAATGCAATGTTACTAAAAACTTGTACTTGTATAATTGAATAATGTGTAAATGAAATTAAATTAACTACTGAGAAATGTGCCTCATTTTGAAATTTAATGTATAATATTTTAACTCATTTGTACTTGTATTCATTTATCGATTTCAAAATCAAAACAAACTGGTTTTAATTTATATATATAAGTTTGGTTAACCCACAATCGGCCATTATATTTTTGGCAACGTAATTTTAAATTTAATAAGTTATTTTAAATAGTTATTGGCATTTAGTATTTTTTTAAAATATTAGCCATGAGTCTAATGGTATGTTATTTATTTCATAGTTTTTGTCATTATTTTTATTTTTGTGCCTGAAAAAGAAGTTTTCAGATTCAATGCTGTAATTAAAATTTCAGAGAAGTGTAACTGTTCCCATTTATATAATGAATTTAAATGATTTTATCATGAACGAGTTTTTAAATAGAAGTTTAAAAACTTATTATTATTCTTTAGTTTTTTTGCAAAATATTTTTCATTAAAAAATTAATAAATAAAGGAATTAAGTTTTTATATTATATCTATACATATATTTATCTTGAGCTCTGCACCTTAGTCTAGTCTTGTTAGTGTCTTTTGTGCATTAAGAAAAACGTTTTTTTTTTTATTATTTTTTTTATAACTTGTCATTCAATCTGAATGCAGTGCTTACCATAAAATAAAAAATTAAAATTTCAATTTTTTTCAAAAGATTTATGCAAATATTTTATAGAGCTTTTATCTCTGTCAGTCAATATTTAATAGAGCTTTTATCTCTGTCAGTCATAATGTGCTCACGATTTTAAGACCCTAAATATTTAAAACAAATGTTTCTAGAATAACCCTATAAAAAATGTATGTATAACTCTTGCAATTTATGTACATTATACAATTTCTATAATTTGCAATGCATCAATTTATTTTTAGCTTATCAGAATTCAGTGATGAAAATATGATGGATCCGTACAACCTGGCAATCTGCTTTGGTCCTACTCTTCTACCCATTCCTGAGGACAAAGATCAGGTTCAATATCAGAACCTAGTAAATGAGCTTATAAAGAACATCATCATATATCAAGAAGAAATATTCCCAGATGATGGTGGTATAGTCTATGAAAAGTACATTAGCACAAATGTCCCTGATGAAAAGTAAGTTAAACATTTACTATTTTATTTTTAAATTAAAATTTTGGTATACTTAAAGAAACCCCTATTTTGTTATGTCAGATATAAAAAAAATTGTGTTTATTTTAAAACTACGTATTTTTATAACCTAAAACAAATTCAATATTGTAAGACAATTGCTTAAAAACTTGAATTTGAATGTTTTTAAAATTATATTAACCTTTCTAAAGAAAATAAGCTTGACCATAGATACTTAGTATTATTATTTTGCGTATTTTATTTAGACTGTCATTTAAGATTTAGTTTGTTTTTCAGGGAGTGTTGCATTTTTAAGAAGTGCTTAAAGGTGCTTATTTTCGATTTCCATTTTTTAAAAGCCCTTAAAGGTGTTTTTTTCATTGGGCATTTTTAAAAAGTGCTTAATTTTCCCTTTTCCAAATTGAGATTTTTCGTTTACCTTGTTGATTTTCACTACGAATTATGCAAAGAAAAACATGATTCACATTGTTCTATTCAACGTTTTCACAATTAATTTAACCCCAATCTATTTTGGCACATCGTCAGTCCGTAGCGTATAAAAACGCCATTCGATTTACATGATTCAAAAATTTTAACAATTGTCAAAAACAATGTCAAATTTTTTTATATTTTTAGACATGACGGTTAAAACCAGATTAAACCGTCAATTGTCAAAAACTTACCTAATTATATTTTTTTAAAGTGCTTAAAAATATTATTTGAGTACTTGAAAAGTGCTTAAAAGGTACTTATTTTTATTGAATAATTTGGCTACGCACCCTGTTTTTAGAAACCTTTCAGATAATTATTGTAGGTTTTAGTTAGTAAAACCAGTAAAAAAAATTTATACTTTATAGTGGTTAAAACATAATAAAAATTGATTTATTTTTAAAAATAAAGCAATACATCAGTACAAATACTATTTATTAATAAATACTTCAGTAAAGTTGCATGAAGTAAAAAATCGTGTGTGTTTTGATTTGCCTAAAAAACATTGATTAATATGCGTCATTCTGCAATATTAACGAATATAATTTATTAAATACATACACATTTCTCCTTTATTTAATCCAAAATTCCTATATTGTATATCAATAACTACTTAAATTTTTTATTTAAATGTTTTCAAAATTATATCAAGCTTTCCCAGGAATTTATTTATGTTAAAATAGCTTTGAAATTATTTACTGTAATGTATATACAGCTTTATTAATCTATTGCATTGAAAGTCATTTAAAAAATTTTTTTTTACAGTGATGTTGGTGATTCACCTCCTGATCCTGTATCAGAATTAGCAGATGATTCAGAAGTTGATACTGTGCAGAGTGAAGATGGTACATTTATAAGTTTATCTTTTCTTTATATAGAATTGCCTCCATATTATACTGTCCTAGTTTACCTAGTAGTGAAATATTTAAGCTACTTTCAATACAAAATGTCAGCTTTCTTTTAAAATGTCGCCATTTAAATGGTGAAATCCAATCCCCAATCTTATCAATTTATCTTAAATCCAATTTATATTTTTTGAATGCTTTTTATTCCCATTAATTTCGTACTATTAGTCTATATAGCAAATGTGAATGTATATCTTATAAAACATGTGTCTGCCTAGTGAGGGGGGGGGGAAATTATCTTGAATAAATTTTGATATAATGATCAAATTCTTAGGCACTAGGACTCAATCTTAATCATTTAAGAGGGTGACCTAAAATATGGTTTAAGGATTTAAAATAAATTATGTGTTGAAAGTTCGATTACTAAGGAACTGTTAGATTTTGTATTTTGCCTTATAAAATTACCTTCTTTAATATGATGCAAATATTTGTATACATTACAATTCAAACTTTTCTCGATTATTATGAAATAAAATAGTTATTAAAAATGAGATTTTGCATGGATTATTTTTGGATAAATGAATTTTAGAATTGTCTGGATAAATTTCTTGAGATATAGTGAAATATGCAAAAAGTAAAATTAACATTAATGGGCCCAAACTTTTAATAGCCATTCTAACCAAACTAGTGGGGCCATATTTCCCAGATTGCGGCTACTCCCTATTACTTTAAGGGTCATAAATCCACATCCTTCAACAAAAAAAAGGTATGTTTATTCAGAGAAAGTATGTTTTTGTGTCTGATTTCGTAACTTAAAATATCATCCGCAGTAATTAATTAGCATATTTTAATCACTCCTCAAACTATGAAAATAAGAGTTTTTGTAAGTGAAAAAACGATCATTAGATTAAAAATTATTCACGGTAATTTTATTTTTTTTGTGCACTGGGCATTATTTTAAGGAGGTGAGATTAAAAATTAAGTCTTGAACATGGACAATTTGACATGATTAATTTAAACTAGATTAATTATAAATAAAATTGTTTAAGAAGTTTATTTAACTATTAAAAATCTTGCAACCTATTTTTAATTAGGTAACTACTTAAAAAAAATGTGTTTTTTTTTGTAGGTTTCTTTATTGATTAAGATTATAATAATAAACATTGTTAAAAAGAAATTATGGATATTTACTGACACATAAAATTTTTTATGAACTAGGGCTTTTTTATTTCATACTTTATGTATTCATTTTTTGTACAATGTCATATTTGTATGTTTTTCTTACATAGCTAACAGTAATAAACATTGAAACTGCCTTTTATTATTTTGATTTGCATTTATTTGATTTGATTTATTTATTTTTATTTTGCTTTTTAAGTGCCAAAATTTTTAACAAAAGTTTTGTTCTTTTTTTTCTTCCTTTGTTAATGTTTGACTAATGTAGTTATAACAAATTTCAGATGCTGTATTCCCTGAGCAAGAGATAGCCTTCAATTTATTTGGCAGTATGTTTTTCCTCCCTTTTAAAACTTTTTGCTTTCCAATTTTTTTTTTATTTAAAGAAAAAATAACTTGTTTTTCTTCTTATGCTTTATTAATTTTGTTTTCCTTTCAACTCCAAATAGTTTTTTAATGAGTTTTATGATTATCAATGTTAAGTTTTGAAATTTTTGTAATAAGTATGCCATTTAAAAAGAACTAGCAGTAATAAATTCAGTAGTTGTGTTTCAGTTCCTTGAAACATATTATTCTGACTTTCTTTTTAAAATATTTTTCCCTATTCAAATAATGTAGCGATTTCTTAACAATGAAATGTAACACTTCGCAATCATTGAATATTTTTCTAATAATGTGTTTTGAATTAACATACAATTTGAATCTCTTTGTATGTTTTCTTATTAAAATGTTTCTCTGTGTTTTTCAAGTGTGAAAAAGATATTTAGTTCATTTTATGATGTTACTGGAATTTGCGAATAGTTAAATCTTTCCATTACTAATTTTATACTTAAATTTTATTTTGAATTTTGATTTTTAAAAATTTTAAACGTTCTAATGATAAATTCTTTTTTTATTTGTTTAACTGATCGTTGCAACTATTGCAATGGTTATTATGGAAGTTCATATTTCTTGTCTGGTTACTGAAAATTATAAACAAGCATATATGTTATTGTAGTTTCAGTCATTTTTCTTATTGAAGTGCTGGAGAGCTAGAAGCCCCATGACCTAATAGTCAATGGCTGGCATTTGTTTAATAATAAAAATAAGTACATTATTCTGAACTATGCATTATTATATATGAACTACATTAATTACATTACAATACATTATTATATATGAACTATGCATCAAAATAAATAAATAGATCTGTATGTTTATGATATTTTATTTAAAAAGGAAAAAAAAACTTAGTTCTTAAGACAATAAACATCTTTTGTAAAATTTATCCCAAACTTGAACAGAAAATGGAAATTTTAAAGATTGTTTTGCTTTTGTCTCAGTTTAAATTATAATTTCATCTGTTCTTAGTGTGTAAAAGAACTATTGTATAACTTATTAAAAGCTTTCTTTTGTATTTAAACTCTTGAAACTTTTTGATTACTTATTAAGTTTAAATTATATGTGATTGAAAATTTAACTATTTTAATTCCTTTGGTGATATCCCCTGAATTTGAGACGGGTTGTTTCACCCCTGTATAATATTTCCTTAGCTTATATCAGAAGAAAACTGGTTTTTCAACAAAGAGAAAAACAATATAGATAAAAGTCCCACTTTTCATGTTTATGACTGCAGGAGGGTTGAAATAAAATAGTTTTATAAATCTCAGCACAACATAATAGCTCTGTGCATCAATATGAAATGTAATCATCTCATGATATATGGTATAACAAATGACTATAACAATAACAGCTACAGGATCTTACATTAATAGCAATAAAGAAATTCTTGAGAGATGCCTGCAACAATGCTTTGTTCACATACCTACATGGATATCTGCATTAATTGAAAGAATTTTTTGATGAATTGATGGTAATTTTCAATATATGTTGATTGCATATTGGATTTCTGTCATTTATCTATTGAAAGGGAATGAAAAATTGTTCTAAGTGATTATTTTGTAAATAATTGTGATCTATCTTTGACTATTTTTGGAAGTAAATAAAGTACCTACCTCTTGCCTTTGCTAACTAATAGTCATTGAGTAGCTTCCCTGGCAGCAAAATAACTTGGTCCTTCATTGAACCAATATTCATGATCTTGGTTAAGTAAGGTTTCAAAAGGCAGTTTTTCTCATATTGGCCCTATATAAAATTGCCCAAATCACCCGATATCTTATTTTCATTATTCAGCCTATATAGGCTATTCTAGGATCAATATTAAAAAATCTAGACATCCATATATTGATCCCTCTATACATGTTCTTCTAGGACCCACATTGAGCCAAGTTCAAGCCCAACCGGCACCAAGGTAAAATTGTTTCCTAGGGTTCAGGTAGCCTCTTTTTTGGTAAAATGTAGAACAGCAGAAAATGTGAACACTATGAGGCAAACAATTTTAGGATTTATAGATTTTTCCACTACAAACTTGTGGACAAGGAATAAGAGCAAGACATAATCTAATTTCCTATTAATGTAAAGCAAATTATTTTCTGAAACATCCCATTGTGAGCCAGGGGATCATCAGAACTAAAGTTTCACAATTTTATGACAAATGGTTTCAGCAATGCACTTGTCTGCCTTTACTTCCTAGACTACCCTAGACGGTGCTTATCGATCTGAAGCTGGGTGGGCTTTAAGCCGCCGCTAGGAATTGAAACTCAGTACTTCACTCTGTCTTCCTAAAATGTCTTTAAAGACCCATATCTTAGATTTACAATTCGTGTGATGTTTCTTATTTATTAAAATGTATGATCAGTTATTAGTCATATATATTAATTGTTTTCCTTCTTTGTTTTTAGAAACTGAAGTGATGGAAGCTGTTGCACAATTTGATTTCAATGCTCGCTCTCAGAGAGAACTATCTTTCAAGAAAGGCGATACCCTACTGTTGCAGAATCAAGTCTCAAATGATTGGTGGAAAGGAAGCTTCCTTGGACGAGAGGGTCTCATTCCTGATAAATATATCCTCTTAAAAATTAGGTAGCTATTGAATATCCATCTGCAGAATGGACTTATTCCTGATAAATATATCATCGTAATTTCATTGTTATTGCATATATTTTATTAGCCATTTTTGTGAGTAGTACTTATTTCTGATTATTGTACGTATGGGGATTATTATCATTATTCGATTCCTATTAAAAAGGATCTGGATTCTTGTATTCCCAAAAAAAATTTCCTCTTAAAATTTTAGTATTTACTCATGTAGAATTTGTCATGTACTCATGTAGAATTTGTCTTAGTTTTAAATAAGTGTTTACTTTATTTTATAACTCAGACACAATTAGATTTCGGATAATCAATTTTTTGAGATTTCGGATACTGTTCCTTCCCACTTTTAGAGAATAGAAAATAATATCTTGCAAAATAGAGTTATTAGTGTAGTCAATTAAATAACACTTTGAAAATTATTCTAGATAAAATAACCTTTGCTAATTTTAGTATTATTAAATATTGAGCTTTCTTTCTATCTGACATTTTTGTTTTAACAGATATTGTTCTTTAAGAATTTAAGTGTCTACTGTGATAAATTAAAATATGAATTTTTTTTTAAAGAAACTGAGAAAACTCGTTATGCAATGAAAATGTTGTAATTATTTCATTACAACTTTGTGCAGTGTGCAAGAAGAAAAAAAAAGAACCACCTTAAACAACCTTGAATTTCTTAACGTTCTAGGACTTTTTATCTTAATGGCTCAAGGGGGTGACCTCAAATAAATAAGCACAAACGATAATTTAAGTTACGAAATGAGATACAGAAACTTACTTTCTCTAAATAAACATATAATTTTTTTACAGATTCGAATTTCTGATCCCCAAAATATGTTCCTCATAGTTTAGTCAGGAGAGCGCTCTAAAGTTTGGACTATTCAATGTTAATTTTACCTTTTTGCGTGTTTCACTATATCTCGAAAACTTTTGAAGCAAATTGAAATTTTTTTGTACGCAATTATAAAATTCGTTTATCCGAAGACAATGTCATGCAAAAAAAAGTTTTTAGTAAATATTTTTTATTATTTTATTTAATAATGGTCGAAAAATTTTTGAATTGTAATGTTTAAAATTTTTTTCATCATTTTAATCCTCTGAACGTTCTGCACGTAAAATGTGGTATTTTAGTATGCAGTCTTTTTAGCCTAGCAAAACCAGATTTTTTATGTTATGAGATAGGTAAATAGTGTATAGTAGAGAAACATTCTCCTAATTTTGCCCATTTTCTAAACCGCCAGTGGTTTAAAGAGTACAAGTTTACAGGGCAAAATAAAAAATTTGAGCAAAATTGTTGAAAAATTCCAGAGAAATTGAATTTCAAAAAAGTCATCTATTCAAAATTCAATTTCTCAGAAACTATATGATCGATTTTGCTCCAAATTTGTATTTTCTCTTGTAAAATTTATAATCTTTAAAATGATGCAAAAAAATTGCATACTATACAATTCAGAAATTTTTCAACTATTATTGAATAAAATAATTAATATTTACCAAAAGTTATTTTTGCATGGTAATGCAAATCTTTGCATTATCTTTGGACCAAAGAAATTTTATAATTGTGTGCAAAAATGTTTCAATTCACTTAAAAAGTTCTCGAGATATAGCGAAATACGCACAAAATTAAATTAACATTAAGGAGTCCAAACTTGGGAGCACTCTCCTGGCCTAACAATTGGAACCATATTTGCCAGATCTGTCGGGGGGGGGGCTTGTTTAATNATTGTGTGCAAAAATGTTTCAATTTACTTAAAAAGTTCTCGAGATGTAGTGAAATACGCAAAAAATTAAATTAACATTAAGGAGTCCAAACTTGGGAGCACTCTCCTGGCCTAACAATTGGAACCATATTTGCCAGATCTGTCGGGGGGGGGGCTTGTTTAATCAGAAAAAGTGTATTTTTGTGTCTGATTTCATAACTTAAAATATCGTCAGCCCTTAATAATTAGCATATTTGAAGTTACCCCCTCGAGCCTTTAAGTTTGAGTCTGATCATTGAATCCAAAGTTATTCAGGGTAGACAGTCTGTGCATTTACCCCACACTGTGCATTTACTTTGAGGCATACATCATTCACTTAGTGCAACTGGTTCTGATAAACAATTATTCATTATTCATGAAAGAATATTCAAGGTTTTCACAACATTAGAATTTTTTTACCTATTTTCTCTAGTATACTTGAAATATAACGAATTTTTGTGCTTTCCAGAGATGAGGATAGAGATAAGAGTAGCATGGATGGCAGTGAAAAGCGACGGACAAGCAGCAGTAGCGATTCCCTCTCTGGCATCAGTCACAGTCCCAAGTCTTTATCTACCTCTGGAGCTCTTGAAGACTGCAGCTCAACTTCTTCCTTGGATCGAAGAAGCTTGAGCAGCCTGCATCCCCAGACTCCAGAATGGGAGCTTAACCAGCCTTTCCCTACCAAGACGGAAGTGACCAGTATAGAGACTAGTTTATTGGACAGTGATAAACTCCCAGATCCTCCAGACCTGGGTGCCATTCACGGCATCGATCGAGAGACCGACATTATCGACACCCACACCCCTCATATTTATGATGAAAACAACAGGAGACCAAAGAAAGCTTGCAAGGATGCTCCAGATCTAGTGTTAGATCTTCCTATCAATTTGCCTAGTCCAGTTTCTAGTGCCAAAAGTGGTTCAAATAATTCACCCGATGACAATTCTCTACTAAGTCCAGGAAGCAACACAGACAGTCCAGAGTTGACTGCAGCTGAAAGATTTGCCAAATCTAATCAGTGCACAATGAAGAAGGGGACCATGTCTCGCAGTGCGAGTCATGTGACAGGTCCTCAGTCTCTTGATGCACAAACTCAGACATTCTATGCAGTGCGGCGTAGTGCCAGCACCGGTGACAATTTAGGACCTGCGTCACCAGATTTGACGCTGGATTCCAAAGATAAACCCACTTGTGACGCACAATCTGAACAAATATCTTCCCCGCTAGTGAATACAAATGGTAATGTTAAGGTCGAAACTGTTGAACTGAGCTGGGTAAAAATGGATAAAATGAACAATGAACTAAAGAACAAAGATTCTCCAAACAGAGTGGAAACCACCATAAGCACTGGTGGTGTGTCTTCCTTTAAACCACCTGTTAAAAGCAAACCACCTCCTGTTATGAAAAAACCTAACCGTGCTGAGTTGAAAGCACAAGAAGTGTACCAGCAAACCGCATGCTAATATTTTTCAGTTCATATTGAATTACTTGCGCTGAATTGTGAGAACGCAATTCATATAATAGATAAAGTCAACTTAAATACAGCTATTTTAGGTAATATTTTCTCAAATTCTTTACTAATAAAATATAGATAAGTTGAGTGGTGAATATATCATTACTATTGAAAAATCATCAAAGTAATTTGAAACAAACACTTCACTTAAGTGCTACGTGTAACCTAATTTAAATTAATAGATTGAGATTCAAAATCAAATCAATTTGAAAATAAGCTTTATTTGAATGTTGATTTAAATCAATAAATTAGAATCGTTGATTCATGTTAGTGTGAAAATAACGATTCCTATCCTTCAATGCCCATCTTTAATTTATATGCTGTGCATGTAAATATAAACGTAAGTGGGTAGTTTATTTTAAATGTTAGAAACGCTTTTTAATGTTACTCTTATCCAAAAATTTGCATTTATTTGAAAACAAAAACAAAAATTAGTCGTTTTTAAATAAATGAAAAGGTTCCTGTCTCGTTAATATTTATATTTTGGTTAAAACAAATTAAGAATTTATTACTTCCGTTTTATGAATGAAAATGTTATCATCATATTCAAAGTTTGTTGTATGTACATACAGCATGCACAATTTAACTTACTCAAACAGGTTGAGATGAGGAACAGCGAGCATTTGTTCATAAAGGTGCTGTTTTCTTAATCTGTACAATGTGTGACGCAACAAAAGAAGCAGGAAAAAAAGAACTTTCTAGAATCACCTGCAACTTTCTTATCTACTTTTCTAGGAAAGAACTATTGTATATTTTTGTGTATTGTGTATTATCGTTGAGACATGACAAAGTAAGTCGACCACTTTAGTAATGCGAATGCTGTGTTTTTTATGAATAAATGGCAGTATTGAACTTTGTGCATTTTGAGCTGTATTTGTACGAGATTGTATAAATTTAAGAATTTGTATGACCTTTTGTATGATGAACGATATATATAATGAGCTATTTGATGTAAAAAAGTGTGGTTGAATTTTCTTTTGCGTGTATTACTAGTTGTTCAGACAAAACAAAAACATTTTAACCAACTGATTTTATCAAAACTTAAGTTGATTTTATTTATTTATAATTTTCAGAAAATTCTTAAAATTATACAAATTTTTAAACATAAAACAAAATATTTTTAGGTGCATTTTTCTAAAGCAAAACTCTTATTACAAATAATTAATTAGAAATGAAAATTATATTTCATTAATTAGGTTTTGCAATAAAGCCTGATTCGTATAAGTTTGAAGTGTTGTCATAAAAATTTTATTTTACTTGTATAATTTTTGAAGTTATTTGTATGTCATATTTTTTATTTGTTCATTCGTAACTTTTGTTTTTGTATTATAAAATTATTATGTACAGTGAACAGCCATGGCGTTGGCATAATAAAAAAATAAATAAAAAACAGTTTTGCATTTTCTTTTTGCTCCATATTTGAAGATTATGACTAATTTAGCTGATATCATAATACATATAAAATTACAAGTGATCAATTGTGTTCTTGAATTATTTTGATATTAAACTCTCTCTCTTTTTTTTTCTTTTTTTTTTGGCAATTACAGTCAAAAACTCAAATTTTGGTGTAGAAAATATTGTAAATAAAACTGTGTAAAATTGAAATTTATCCAATCTGTTATTTTGTTAAAGTGATGAAAATAAAAATACAGAAACTAAAGCTTAATGAAAAAAAACACTCAATTCATTATATGTAAAATAAATTTTCATTTACACCCATTTAATTCCTTCTTACCCTAAAATGAGATTACAAAAAAAAAAAAAAAAAAAAAAAAAAAAAAAAAAAAAAAAAAAAAANAAAAATATTTAAAGTACTCAGAATTTCAATCGTTCTCTGTATTTCTTTCTACATTAAAGTTCATTTTTTAGTTTTGTATGAATAAGGCCGAAATTCGAAACTATTCCGATGCTGAGCTGCATAATCTAGAACAAGGGTTTCCAACTTACATGAGGCCGGGGGCTGGAATTAATAACACTAGTCAAATGGCGGGTCACAACTTTTTCAAAATTTTATATAGGACTCTTTTATGTTTGAAGAAACATTAAATATTACTGTCACTATTCACAAAATACAAAAAATGAAATTAAAAAGAACAACATACACGATTATTTTTGTATTTGATTAAATATTTCCTTGGATACAAAACCTGAGAAATAATTATTTTTGCACTGTTGGTACGTTAAATTTCACAGAAACGAAGAAGTAGGATTTTTTTTAACGAAAGGAAAGTATTTTAAAACCATATAGATTTTTTATAAAAATTGTCTGCAAAAAAATGACAATTAATATATTTTAGTTCAGGGGCCGCTAGCTGGTAACCACATGTCTAGAAAGTAGACATACTAAAGCTATTATAACATATGATAACATGTAACTAGGAAATTTATTCTAATAACTAAGTATTAATAGCAATTTAGTTAAAGCCTTAAATTGATTGATTGGAAAAATCGACTCATTTAAGCAAAAATTTATATTTCTTATAAATTTTAAATAGTTTACTAATCAGTGAACTAATTATACATTGATATAATTAACATTAGTTCACTAATTGGAATTTTCTCTTACGAGGGTTGCCGCAATCTGGGAAGTATGGTCCCAATAGTTCGGTCAGGAGAGCCGACCAAAGTTTGGACACTTTAATATTAATTTTACTTTTGCATATCTTGAGAAATTTTTTAAGCGAAATGAAAACAATTTGCACGCAATTATAAAATTCGTTTATCCAATTCCATACAAAAATAATCTAGTAAATATTTATTATTTTATTAAATAATAGTTTTAAGAATTTTGAATTGTAAGGTGTACAGTTTTTTACATCATTTTAAAGCATCGGCAAAATACAAAATCGGTTGAATAATTCCTGAGAAATCGTATTTTTAAAAAGTCGTATATTTAAAAGTTGATTTCTCAGGAACTATTAACCGATTTCGCTCAAATTTTGTATTTTGCTATATTAAATTACATTCTTTAAAATGATACGTCCCGCAGTGGACTGATCGTTAAGACACGGTTCCCAGCAGATCACCGAAGTCAAGCATCACTGACTACGGTCAGTGTGCGGGTGGGTGACCACTTGGAACAGTCTGCGTATGGACCGAGGGTCCCTACGCCTGCAGACCGCTCTCCTGACCAAACAATGGGAACCATGTTTTCCAGATTGTGACTACCCCCTATATTTAGGGGACCCAAAACTCCGAATCCATCAAAAAACAAGAAAGTTTATTCAGCGAAAGTATGATTTTGTGTCATATTTCGTAATTTAAAATATCGTCTGCACTTACTAATTAGCATGTTCCAGGTAACCCTCTTGAACCATTATGAGTCCTAGAACGTGAAGATCCAATCATTGGATCAAAAGTTATTCAGGGCGATCCATTTTTTATGTTGCGTATTGTAAGCAGGGCTGGAGAAAATTCTAAGAGAATAATATTCAGTATGTACAAAGTTCCTAGTTGGATCAAAAATGTTAGCTTTTTTTTCTTCAGTACAATATTTCAAAGTATTTTTAGAAAATAAGGTATATATAAGAAAAAAATTAATTTGATTTTACACTATTTTTGAATAAACAAGCATATGTGTTATGAAATAATTGAAATCAAAATATATTAAAATTGAAATAATTTATTAAATTAAATTTAAGCTCCCACTTATTAATCATTTCAGCTTTAAGAAATTAGTTTTAATACTTAAGGAATTCAAACTAATAAATACACAAAATTGACATACGTTTTTTTTAACAAGAAAAAAAATTTGCAAAGCGACGCATTTTTCTATAAAAAATTTTGTGGGAATTTTTTTTGTACTAAAAATTTCCCCATGGCTGCCTGAGTTTCTTTCGAAGCCTTGTTTGGTCGGTCAGACATATTCTGCTCCCCTGAATATAATTAATAACAATAAATATTGAGAATGAATGAAAAAAATTTTTACTTTGAGATCAGACAATTATTAACGAACACTTTAATTTTACTTAATCTGAAAAATCTGCCTAAATTGTAACATAAACGGATTAAAATCAGTATATAGATTGATAAATAATAAACAACGAATAGTTATAATATCTGACTTTAAGTACTATTATGATTACCATTAGAAAAACCAATTAATAGTTTCAATAATTTTGGCAACATTTTTTATGTGTGATAATATAATTAACAATTTTAGTAGTACAGAACGTAAGTATTGTGCATGATTTAGTATCTAATTAAATGTCTCACATGTCAAAAAAGAAACTTACCCAAAGTTTTTGACAAATTTCGACAATTTAACTTTTGAGAGGTTTTTGACGCGTTATGACAAAACCAATTTTTGACGTCAAAAACCAAAACCTGTTAAAAAAAAACTTTTTTTTAAAAGGAAAAAAAAAACGCCTTCATTAATTTGCATAAGCCTATTTCATAATTTAATTGTCAAAACAAAAAGCATTGTATTCATCTCAATTCAACTTATACTTTTAAGCTTTAGTTTCAGTTCATAATTTTAAGACTTCACATTACTTCCTGAATAACTTATGACATTATGTTTAAACTTTTATGTACTAACATGGCCAAATTATGGTGTCATGGGACTTGGGCCTGACGGATAAAATAAAACCCTATTTATTTTATCTTAAGAATAAGAATGTATTTTTTTTTTTCCAAATTAAAGAAACATTTAGTAATGCTAACTAAGAGGAAAAATGTCGCCAAATTAGCGATTTTTAAAAGAGTTAAATAACTTTTGAAATATTTAAATTATTAGTCCGCTCTAAAGCCCAATTAATTCTTCATGGAAAGATGATGCATGTAGTTCAAAATCATCGTTTTGCTTCAAGTGCAAGGCACTTAAACTGTAGCTTTTTTTGTCCATGGCTAAAGAGATCAAAAAATCATGTTTGAGCCAATGTGCGAGTTTGAAATGCATCACAGAATTAATCAATCAATACTTCGAAGGTTTTAACTTAAACTTAGATTAAACATAGTTAACTTCAATTATGTGGGACAATTGGTGTATATGACAGGAATCGGGAGTCAGGTCCACAACTATAAAATTATAATAATAAAAGATAAAATAATTGATTGTTTCGTTTCAATAATTATGGTACCTCAACTTTTTACCACATTAACTGCTAAAGTTCTTCGCATTCATTTTTTGAACAAATATAAGGTACGTTCTTTTTAGAATAGATCAAATTCTGCAATTAGTTACGAAATTCTTTTGAGCATCCTTTTCAACGTCGGAAAGCAAATCTTCTTTTATTCTAAAATTTCTCGGCCAAAACTTTTTTTAATACCCTTCGCCAATACTTTGATTTAGAAGTTATTAGTTTCATTAATTCTTTGTAATTAAACCATTACTTTCATTAATATATACTTTTATCTACAACTACTGTACTTTCCAGTTTGTAGAGTTAGTAGTTTTCCTAATTTTTGCGTGTATTCAACACACACCATTTTCGTAGAATACGNCTGAGTGCCTGGGGCCCCTGGGCACTGCCCGGGTGTGCCCATGCGTAAAGACGGTACTGACTGTACTTTCCAGTTTGTAGAGTTAGTAGTTTTCCTAATTTTTGCGTGTATTCAACACATACCATTTTCGTAGAATACGGATGCCGTGAAGAATATGGAAAAACGGATTTTTAAAAAGTTTTGAAGATATCTTTTTATTTTAATTTATAATGCTTATAGAAATCGTGGGCCGGGATAGCCAGGTCGGTAGAGCACTGGGCGCATGACCGAGAGTTCGTGGGTTCGAACACCGTCGGCCGAAGATTTAACGTGTGGGTGCTCGTTAAATCTGTCGAGTCACAAAATCCTCCATTCCATGTTCCCATAACAAATCAATACCTCTGGGGATACTCGATTGGAGATAGATCGTTCTCTGATTCAAGTCAAGATAACGATCTGCGGAAGTATGAATGGGTCCGCCTTATAAACGGGTGTGTCATATGGGAGTGGCAGCATTCAAATTCTTGACCATAGATGGCGCCACTAGAAAACAAGAACAATCGCACCCCTCTACCTTAACAGGTATACGAGAGAAAGCAGAAATCGCAAAATTCAATTTTCCAATTTAGGGACTGTCTAATATTCGATTATGGTTCAGGCATACATCCTTACCCACAGGATTTATTGTTTGACCCTTTTTGGAAATTCATTTATTCTATGAAAGAGAAACTTAACAGTTTTATATTATCAAATATTTTATGGTGATGAATTCTGGCGTTCACTTATTTATTATATTATTCACTGACAGGTTTCACTTATTAGACTTCGTTATCAAAGTCTACTACAGTGAATCAAAAAAGTCCAATGATAAGAATTCCTGTGAATACATATCACTGAGAAGTACCAAAATTAATAGTACATATATTTGGTTTGATCTTAAGGCAGCAAGTAGGAATTTCGCCCAACTTTCAAGGTCATTAATCGCCTTCGCCAAAACTAGATAGATATGAAATTTGCTTTAGAAGAATCATAATCAATTCTATTATATTTTGACTTAAAATCTATTCAAGATTAGAAATTGTAAAGGTTGACATAAGCATTTTTTAAACTTATTTTCCTTTCAACATCATTTTGTGTTATCAAAACATCTAACGCAGTTTCACCAATGAAGTTTTCAAAATTTAAGATTTAACTTTGATAATTTACCATTTTTAATAAAAACTTTTCTTCATTCGAAATTTCAGTGCATGATAGAGTTCAAAATATAATTCTTAAAGCATGAATAACCTTTGTTTGATTGTTATTGATGGCTGGGGTCTTTCAGAGGAGAAGAAAGGTAACGCCATTTTCAACGCGCACACCCCTATCATGGACGACTTGTCGAAAGATTCAAGCAATTATCTAACCCTAGACGCTTCGGGTTTGTCAGTTGGCTTGCCAGAAGGACTGATGGGAAACAGTGAAGTGGGCCATATGAATATCGGCGCTGGACGTGTTATGGAACAAGATATCTTACGAATTAACAAAGAAGTTGAAAATAAGGAAATAAGTAAAAATCCTAACTTCATCGAATGCGCCAACAATGCCAAATCTAAGAATGGTAGACTTCATTTTTTGGGACTGGTTAGCGACGGCGGAGTTCATGCGCACATCGACCACCTCTTTGCTCTGTTGGAAGCAGCTAAAGAACACGAAGTAGCAAAAACATTCATCCATTTCTTTTCCGATGGTCGGGACACCAGTCCGACTTGCGCTTTTAAGTACGTTCAGCAGACTCTCGATAAATGTAAAGAGTTAAATCATGGCTGTTTGGCGACAATAACCGGCAGGTATTACGCAATGGATCGAGACAAAAATCATGAAAGAATTAAACTGGCGTATGAAGGTATGGTACAAGGAAAAGGTGAAAAAACGAACGCCGAAGAAGTGGTGAGCTTCATAAAAACGAAATACGAAGATAAAAGTGACCCACAATCTGATGAAGACCTGAAACCTATTATTGTGAACCAAGAAGGGCTTATTCAAGATGATGACACCCTACTTTTCATCAATTATAGAGCTGACAGAATGAGGCAGATAACGGAAGCATTCGGCATGAAACCTGAATTTGAAACTGGTACAATCCCGAAGAACTTGATGGTATGCACAATGACACAGTACAAAAAAGATTATCCGTTTATAATGCTATTTCCACCCCGAGTTCCAAAAAATGTTCTGTCTGAGTGGATTTCTAAGAAAGGATGTTTGCAGTTTCACTGTGCTGAGACGGAAAAATATGCTCATGTCACGTTCTTTTTTAACGGTGGACAAGAGGCAGCGTTCGAGAACGAAACGAGAAAAATGGTCCCTTCACCAAAAGTTGCCACGTACGATCTTCAACCAGAAATGAGTTGTATGAAAGTAGCGGACGAAATGGTGAAAGCAATCAAATCGGGAAGGTACCACTTCGTTCTGTGCAACCTGGCGCCGCCCGATATGGTGGGACATACTGGTAAATACGAACCTGCTCTACGAGCAGTTGAAGCAACCGACAGGGCAATAGGGCGTATTGTTGATGCTTGTGTTGAAATGGAATACGAGTTAGTCATTACTGCAGATCATGGTAATGCTGAGAAAATGTTAGACGAAAATGGTGAACCATGCAAAACGCACACAACGAATCGAGTACCATTTATAGTGAGAAGTTCTCGAAAATTGAAAACACCAGACCATAATGCTGCTCTTTGTGATGTCGCGCCAACAATTCTAGATTTAATGGGTTTAGATAAACCTCCTGAAATGACTGGTCGAAGCCTCCTTGCTTAACATTCCTTTAAATTTTTAAATACAGAGAAAAAGTAGCTGCATGCACATATTTAAAAATCATATTAAATTTGTCTTGCAGTGTTTAACAATGGTTTCAAAAGTATGTTATGTGTAAAAATGCAAAAAGAAAAAAAGCCACCCATTAACGAGCAAAAACGTGAGTCTATTGTTAGAAATAAATTCTTCTTTAAAAAAAAAATTGTAGGCGTTCAAAATTAAGTGCAAAACATAATTTAGACTCAAAGCACAAACTTCAGACCAATTTGAAACATTAAGGCTCATTTAGAAATAAACCACGATCAAAAATAACATAGACAGGTACTTTTCGGTTAGTCGAGCATGAGTGAAATTCAACTGTTATTTTTTTTCTCGTTTTATTTCATTTCTTTTAGTATTTAATTTTTATGCTTTTAAAAAATAAATGAAATAAAAAAAGAATTGGCAGAGGTCTGCATTTTTTGGCGAAAAGTACCTATAGCGTAAAAATTTTTTTTTTTAATATTATATATAGATTTTACTTTGTACTTCTTTGGATGATGTTTTCAATATAAATATAAATAACAACAATCTCGAGTTCTTGATCTGGTCTACTTCCGACTGGGAAGTATACAACTGCTTACTACAGCTTATTCTGTGAGGCGATATTTTCAAGCAGGATAATTTTGTTTCTAATTAAAGTAATAAATTATCTAATTTCTGAGCTCAAATCTGCTGTATTTCATAAGATATTATTGATATTAAGTAATACCGGTGCGCTTGAAGTGAAAATTCGTTATTGTTACTTAGACATGTTTCGTTAAAAAAAAAGGTGACACGGTTGCTTGATTTAGAAAGAGCTCGCTTTTTGGCAGTTCTGATTTGTCCTCTTTGTACTCGTTTATTACTGTGTGTTCTTAGTGCAAACCGTGCACCATCTGTACGAGCAGCGAGATTAAGTTCATTACAAAAATTATCATTTAGGTTTAAATTTCGAAGAAGTGGACATAAGATTAAACACAAAATTTTGTGTGTTATAATCTAATGTCCAACCAAATTTATAGCCCCAAGAATTTTACATTCCTGATTTCTTATGAGTGTGTAACCTGTTTCTGGTTAAGATGTTTGGAAAAATTAAATGATATAAAAAAATAATTTTGCGGAGGTCTACATTTTTTGGCGAAAAGTACCTATAAGCATAAAAAATAAAATTAAAAATTTTTTTTAAAAAATGACTTCTTCAAATTATATGTCGAAAAACTTTAAACGATTTTTTTTGTCATTTGTTACAATTTAATGCTACAGTAAGTGATATAATAGGGGAGAAAGGGGTTTTTACAAACCATCACAAATAAACCACCACTTGTTTAATATTTTGTTGCAAAAGTTACTACTATATCAATTGATAGTTATTAAGTTACACTATATAACAAAGATGGAGTAAAAGAATGAGGAAAAGATGATGATACAGCTCCTAAATTTCCCTCTGACCGTTGGCTACAATCTACCTAGAAAGCCTTGACCTAAGTGTGGAAACAAGATTTTTATGCTCTCTTCTGCCATCTGCGAACTCTTTTACGATGTTCCAGATTGAATTGACAGTTTTCAATTGAGTTGAAAACTGCTTATGAAAAACATGAAACTGAAAAACTGCATTTGATATTTTTGTTTTAAAATCTTTCATCTTAAACAATATTGATTTGAACTTATAATTTCTTTTTTTAATTTAAATCATTATTTGGAATCTTCTCCTATGATCTTTTAAATTGGTGGACGTAAACTTTTGTAAGTATTATATGTATTGAAATGTAAATTATTTACTTATAAATTACTTATCTTTAAAATGAAGATAAGAAAAAGGAAAAGAAAATGTGGAAGAAATATATATATAAAAAATAATAAGCACAACAAAAAGAATTAAACGTAATAATAAAAAAAATTAAAACAGCAATAAAAATAATTATGATAATTAAAATACTGATAATTATAATAATAATCAAAATCATAATAATCAAAATAATAATAATAATAATTAATATTTAATAATAATTGTTAATAATATCCTATTAACGATCACAATAATAATTAAAATGCGAATAATTGTATTGATGACTGAAATATTAATAACCAATATTTTAATAAAAATACGAAATATTATAATAATAAAACATGTACAGTAATAATAATATTTAATGCACGAATAATTCGAATAATAAATAAAAATATTAATAAATAACAATAAGTAAATAAATAATAAAATGTTAATGATAAAAGTAAAAATTTAACACAATAAAGGATACACAGGATTCTTTTCCCTTTGTCAAAAAATGGCTTAAAAATAAGCGAATAAAAAAATGTGTCTTGCATTGATATTTTATGAATTGAATTATTATTATTTTAATATTAAAATACATATCAATTATTATTTCATTATTAAAAATGTGTACCAAAATAATGTTTTTCTTATGTTGATGAAGGGCGTATTTAGCAAAGTAAAATTAATAACTTCCTATTACACAAGAATTAAGCGTTTTATTTTATTTTTAAACTTGGTTAACACTTCTATTAAATTTTTTTTTGTTGTACTGCTGTCTTATAATTTATTTAATCAATTTATGATTATTATTATTATTTAAGGAAAATGCACATTTAATATTAATATTTATCTGATTATTATCTTAATTTAATTAGGAGTGCTTAAGAAGGATTTAATATCACGGATTTTTCAGGCAATCAAAATATTATTCAATTTTATATCTGCTATAATTATTAGAATTTGCCGTTTTTGTTTTGATTTCATCTTAAACTTTGTAAGACTGAATGACAACTGAGAACTACATAGTTCAACTTATTTTTCTTTTTTTTTTTCCTTTTAAATGAAGTTTATAAATTTTTTTTATAAATAAACCTTAGAAAACGTATTAAAAAGTTTTGAAAGACAGAAGTTTGGTGCTGCCATCTATTGTATAAAATAATACTTTGTAAACTCAAATGATTTAATTCCTTCATTTTATACCTTATTTATATTTTGTGTTAAAAATCGTTAAGAATTATATGAATAAAAACAATTGTATTGGAAAAAGTTCGAAGTCGTAAAAGTTCATTTATTTAAAGTTCTTTTATTATGAACAGTGTATGTTTTTCATTTCCCTTTCTCTCCATATATTTGAACGTTTAACATAAAATTGAAATCGAGAACTAATATCAAGAACAACAGAGGAGGGGGGGGGGACTGTAATACTTACAAGGTTTCATTTATTCTTTTTTTAAATGGAACTTTATAAATCTGACATTTGATTATAAAATAATAAAATATCGCTACGGAATGAATCGGAGAATTCATTGAATGAGACCCTTGGCATTTGGCTTTTGTTTCAGACTGTGCGATGTATAATTTGATTATAATACAGTAAGTATCATGTTGAGATGAATCAGAGAAATTGATTCTTTCGTTTTTATTAATGTTTCAAATGGAAATTTATCAAAGTAATACTTCATCACAATACAGTATACTATGGTAGGGTAATAAATCGTTTGACTTTTGTTTTTATTTCAATTGAGTTATGAAAATTTATGAAAGTGATGCTTGATTACAATATAGTAAAATATCGTTGCTGAATGGCTCAAAGAAATTTATCCTTTGGTTTGTGCAATTGCTTCAAATATAAATTTATTAAAGTAGTTAAAATACGGTAATTAAATGAATCGGTGAAATTGATCGTTTGGTTTCTGTTACTGTTTCAAATGTGAAGTTATGAAAGTGATGCTTGATTAAAATATAGTGAAATATCGTAGTGAAATAATTCGGAAAGACTGAGCCTTTTATTTTTGTTATTGTTTCTAATGGAAATTTATTCAAGTGATGCTTCATTACAAATACAGTAAAATATGGTGGGAAATGAATCGTTGAAATTGATCCTTGGGTTTTTGTTATTGTTTCAAATGGAAATTTATCAAATTGATGCTTGTTTATAATAAAATAAAATATCGCTGAACAATAAATTGAAGAAATCGTTTTTTAAGCGGACAAAACGGAAGAAAGCGTAACTTTCATTTTCGCATTTTCATTTAAAAATGTTCTTTTTACACAAAATTATAAAATTCGTTTATCAAAAGATAAATTGTTTATCCTTATCCGCATAAAAATAGCTTTTAATTATTTTTTCATAACTTCATTTAATAACTATCAGAAAGATTTCGAATTGTAAGGTATACCAATTTTTACACGATTTTAAATGACAAAATATAAAATGTGAGAGAAATCAATTGATAATTTCCTAATTTATAAAATGTTTAAAAAATGAATATTTTTTAAAGCAATTTCGTTCCAATATTGTATCGTGTCGTACAAAATTATATAGCTTAAAGTAATGTAAAAATTTATGTACTTTATAATTAACATATTTTAGAATAATAAATTTAATAAAATAATAATCAATTATTGAAAATTATTTACATGGAATTATTTCGATACAAACTAAATTTATAATTGATAGTAAAATTTTTCCGATTGCTTTGAAAAATTCTAGAGCGATGACGAAATACGCGAAAAGTAAAATTTACATTAAGAGACCGGGTAGTGCAATTTAAATATTTTTATAAACATTTGTGCACCCCCCCGAAGAAAAAAAATTATAAAGGAGAAAGGGGAAAAAAATTTATTTTCAATGAAAAACAATGATGATGAAATTTTGAGAACATCCAAGCGTGTCAGGCGAGATAAAATCTTTTCTTAGAAGATTAAAGAAAATTTTCTAGAACGGTGGTTATAATCAGTGAAAACGGATAAGATAGCATTCCTTCGCAATAACATGCGATAAATCTTTTAGATACAGCTACAGAATAGCTAACGAATAGTTAGTTATACGATATAATTTAGATTTTCAAATTACTTATAAATTTACAACGCTGGAAAACTTATAAAAGATGCAACGTCCAATGAATTAGTGTAAACAGTATATACTGATTTTTTATATCACTTTTTTCTTAGTGTAAATGTTACGTTCTAATTAAGCATATTTTAT